AGAGACGGGAAAATATTTATAGACAGAGATGTTAAGAAAAGGAGATTCCAGACAGAATCAACCATGAACAAAACTGAGACAAGTTTCTTAAATTTTAGTGTGTACTGGAATCATGATCAGAAATGATAAAAAAGAAATCAAGACAGTAATAATCTTTGTAGTGGAGACCAGGGATATGATCCGGTTATGAAGAAGGTTTAAAGAGTATTGACATTTTAATCTGAGTAGCATATGAATCTGAAATATTTCATAATATATATTTAAAAATAAATCAGCGTGAGAGGCTATGTAAAATGCAGGTCCTGTCCAAGGCTAAAGCACTAGGGAATCTTCATTAACAAACACCACAGGTAATTTTTAGGCAAATGGTTCATAGACCCCTCCAAAAAACATTGTGATAGCATTTTTCTGAACGAAAATAGTACCAGTGAGTGCAGAAACCCCAATACAGGAGTCAGAGACCCTGGACAGTATTCTCTGCTTTGCTCCAATTTGTTACATGAGTTTCTGCTAGTAGGTTAACCACCTTAAACAGACAGCCACTTTATATTCCTTGTTCAGCATAAGAAGGATAAATGACATGATATCTGGTGACATTTTGGAGAACTTTTCAGTAAATACATGGTTTCAAGAGAGGATAATGGTGTTCTTTTAATTCACACAATAATGGGTACAGAGTTACAGCTAGATAGGAGGAATAAGTTCAGGTATTTTATTGCACAAGTGCATGACTATAATTAATAACTATAATGATTATAACATTACAATCATTATATAATGATTATTATTTGAAGTATAATATTGTATATTTCAAAATAGCTAGAAGAGTAGATTTTGAATGTTCCCATTACAAGGAAATAATAAGTGTTTGAGGTTACGGAAAAGTTAATTACTCCGATTTGATCATTTATACACTATATGTGGACTGAAAGATAATAGTTTTTAGAAAGATGGCACCTTTTGGGAAATCAAGTTCTAGGATGTCTGCCCCCAGTGCCATTTTCATTCAGCTTGAAGCATGTAATGTTAGGAACTTACATAGCAAAAAAAAAAACTTATTGGTGCCTGTCTGGGTGTGCTCAATTCTGCCCTCTTAAGGAAAAAAAAAATTATATATATATATATATATATATATATGGATATATATATATCCATGGTAGTAGTTATCTTTTGTGTTGGGGAAAGGGAATACAGCATACACTTATGAGCCACTGGGGACATTTTTCAAAACATGCAGCCTTCCACCTGTTGCTATGTTGGGGGATTCACATTCTTTTACACACTCCAGGTGATTCCAATTTATTCTCTGCTCTAGAAAGATTCTTGGCCTCCCTCAAGTAACCTGACCCAAGATCTTACACTTGTTTCCTGCCAAGAAGTTACTTATATTTACTTTTCACCTATTTCCTCTTTGTTTAGCTCTCACTGAAGATAGAGGATAATTCACAAGCATCTTGCATATGTATACACAGGGGAATGTGAATAATGACCATGTTCTCAGGGACCAGGGGCCAGCTGGTTGGAAACCTCAGCATCCCCAGAGTTGAAATAATCTCATAGCCAGATGTTTCCTTCACTAGTTGGAGCAGGGCACAAAGTTCCCAGTGGAAGGCTTTCTGGACCTTAGGCTTGTCCAGCTGCATCAGCTGCAGGTGGAGCAAATGGGACCCCAGGGCCCCATTAGGTCACCTTGCTGAGTATGACTCAGGCCAGCAGCTCTTTATTTCTTCCTGTCTCTCCTACTTCCTACTCATCTCTGTGGGCAGCCGCCAGACTGGAGAATAGAGTCAGGACAGGGAGGAGGTAGTTCTTAATGGATACTCCATCTCTTCAGTGGTTTGGGGCCTGGCAGAGATAATCCAGACCTGAAACAAATTGGCTCTTCCCCTGATGTATTTCGGTTAATGCACTAGCTGCCGAGAAGCAGCCAAGCATGGAGCAACAAAATCAATTTCTCTCAGCTGAACAACAGGCTTAAACTTAACCCCCATGGCTCTTTTTTTGTGTGTGTCTTTTATCCATGGTGCTCCAAATGCTGCCCAGATTTGGCTTCCTGCTACTGGCAGAGCCCATTTCTGAGGGTCATACCCAAGATATCCAAAGACCCAAAGGTAATGGTCATGTGCCAAGGAGCTCCTAGAAAATATGATGCATCCAGATACTCTTCACCATTTCTTCATATCTGATATAATCTTACAGCTACCAGTCCCTAGAAAGGAGTCAGGAATGGCTGCTAGTTGATTGGTTAGAGATAGGAAAGCTGTAGAGGTCTAGCAATCTGTCCCAACATCATTCCCCTCCCTGGTTAAAACCTGGTAGCACACCCTTGGTCTTGATCCTTTCTGAGACTACTGACAAATGGCACTTAATTATTAAACTTTAAAGACACTCATTAAATGTAAATACTGTGACCATATTCCTATCTATGAGTGAATGTATTAGGGACTATAGAATGGCAGAGTCATATGAGACTAAAATGGTTTTTGGGTTTTCGTTTTCCCTGTATGACACCAGCCATTCAGCCAAAGTTCTGTTCCACTCAGCCTGGAAATGTTGAAATCCTAATTATCCTTTCACATCCTGACTCAACAACTAAAATGCACACAGGGAGAACTATGAGGGTTTTATAAAAGTCTCAGTCAAACCCCAAAGACAAAGCAAACTGGAAGTAGTGTTTGGAGTCTACTAGAGGCTGTTACTGCTAGCCTTCTGATATATGCCTGGTGGAAATTCTTAGAAATACAAATGGGGTATTTTATCACTCCTCTATCAGAAAAGAAAAAAGATTCAGGAGTCTACAGGCCTGTGGGGAAACATAGAAAATAACTAACTCAGGTCTCACATCCAACTTATCGTAACAAACACTAGATACTGCTTTAGCTTTAGGCACACATTCATTCTTTCTATAGTTACTGAATACCTGCTCTGACCCAGGCACTGAGCTGGGTTATAAAGACAAATAGTAAGGACCACCACCCCTTTCTCCTGTCAGTCAAATGTCATTGCTGAAATAATGTGCTCCTAGAACTGCTGAGTTAACTAGAGGGTACACAAGAATACGGGTGAAAGATGAGACTAACTCATTTATGATACCCATGGAGCTTCCAAAGAAAAATAAAATCAGTGGTTTAGATCAGTGTTAACATCTGGTTTGGTACCATGATTTTCAAGGGGACACTAACTTAATTCTACTTTTTAATGTAGCTAAAAAGTACGAAAATTCAGAACTGAGGGAGACTAGAATAAAAACACAAATTCCAAGCATTTAGAGTGAGTCTGAGTAGAGGGAACCAGAAAGCATCACTTTAATTGGCACAACAAGCAGGCCAGGAAACCATGATATCTTAGCCCAAGTTTTCTCAGTCTTGGCACTGGTGGCATTTTGAACTGGCTACTTTGATGGTGGGGGGGAGGATGTCTTCTTCCTATGCATTGTAGGATGTGTAGCAGTATCCTTCACCTTTACCCACTGGATGTCAGTAGCATCCTCCCCAAGGTTTGATAACCAAAGATGTCTCCAAACATAACCAAATGCCATATGGAGCAGGGAGAAGTGATAAAAACCAGCACTGGTTGAGAATCACTGCCTAAGCGCAGATCTAAACTGAATTGCTAGGGAATAAACTCAAGGGAAGTGAAGCACAGGAAAGGTCATGTCATTTGCCCATAGACAGCCACAGAGAAACATGGTAAAACAAACAAGTGAAATCCAACTTTCCTGGCTCTACTCTCTCATACTGCAATGCTAATAGAGACAATAATGTTAAAGAAGTGGATGATGATTCTAAAACTGTAAAAACAATGCATTTCAGCAGTAGGTTCTACCAGCACTTTGCCCAGTGCCCCATCTAGGTGTACAAAATAGCACAAATATTCACATATACATTTGTCTGTCTGCTTAAATTCATTTTCCTTCTTAGATTGCTCCATTGCCTTCCTGTAGTCTGCCATTTTACATTTTGTTCTTTCTTATTCCATCCCCAGACTGTCAGCATCCCAAGTTGGTTGCACTAAAAACTTAAGGGGAGATGAATAAGGGAAAGGATCAGTAGGGTGAATTGGGGTCACAGAAAAATCTGGATTGACTTATTTAATGACTGCCAGACAGAGGTAGCCTTAGATGTAGGCCAAATAAACAGTCACTTATAGTCTGTCTGTTACCTAGCATTTTACTATTACAGATGTATTGCGTTCAAGAAAATTGTTAATAATTTGTGTCTCTGTATATGTGTTTATCAGGTTGCTGTCCTCTGAGATAAATCCCAAAGGGCAAGGCTTTTAAGGATTAAGTTTATATGGGAGCACTAATGTTATTGAGTATGTGTTTCAGTCACTGGAAGACAGCGCTGGATGATATTCTTTTAAATTTTTTTTGCATTGAGAACTGTTTTAGCACAGTGAATTTAATGGTGTACAAACTAAGAACTCTATAGTGAAGTGGATTTTTTTGTTCTGTTTTATTTTATTGTTAATTAATGTATAATAATTATACATATTTATGGGGTACAGTGCAATAATTTGATACATGTATACAATGTATAATGATGAAATGATAATTATCATTTCTATTCTCCTTAAACACTCTAGTCACCTTACTGTACTGTAGAACACCAGAATTTATTCCTTCTATTTTACTGTATTTTAGTACCCATCCAACCACATTCTGTCTCACTATCCCCTCTCTCCTAGCCTCCAGTGACCACTAGTCTACTCTCTTCTATTGGTTGTGATTCTTAAATGGGGGACCTACAGGTAACAAAAACTGAGGCTAAGTAACATATATTAACTCTGCCTACTATCCAATTTTGCTGTGAATTACACTCTGATGTAGTTACACTTTTGGAAATGCTAGACTAGGAATTTCAGAGATTTCCCTATTCATGGGCTTACAGTTGAACAAAGTAGAAGAAGTGAGAGTGGATTTTCCTATAAGGCCACACTCCCTACCTCCCCTGTCCCAAAGCTCCCAAACCTACTCAATCCGAGGGACACAGTCTTACCTCCCACAAACTGTGCTGCTCCCATGCAACGTCCCATCATTCTGGAGATGAGTTCCTCCATGCAGCAGCCCAAGACAGCAGCCAGTGCCACCAGGAGCAGCAGAGCACAGCCGGCACCTGTAACCACTGTGCACATCTGCCAGGCAAGACTTGGAATGGCACTGAAGCTGGCATAGCGCCCACATTCTTCTACCATGATCAGACTGTGCCCCTCTCCCCGCACAGGATAGTTGCATCTCCGGAATGTGCTGAAGGATACTGGCTTCCCTAGCTGAGACCCAAAGAGCCAGTAAGGCAGGAAGTAACTGGTAGAACTGGCCACAGCAGTAACAAGGGACAGGAAGGCCCAGAGGGTCCCCACCAGGGTCAGGCTGCTCCTCATGATCTCAGGGTTCTCTGTGGAATGGGGAGGTGAGTTGGTTTAGAGTGCTAAATGCAAGAAGTTACCACGTAGGCTCCAACAGCCTATTTTTCATCTGTCTGGCCAGTCTGTGGGCTCATTTATGTACCACTTGGTCTTTGCTTCTAGATAAGATTATTCTCTTGAAGTCCATTTGGGCCCTTGTAGGATTCTGCTTTCCATCTTCTTTTCCTTCTGCCTGGTTCAGAGTATAGTCACTAAGCTGCAGTGAAAGAAACCAACAAAACTGAATTAGTGACTACACTGCCAACCCAAAAATAGCCTGACTAGCCAACTAATAATGCTTGATATACAGCATGGAACCAGTGGAAGGAAGAGAGTCTGAATGAAAGTAAGCCTGTCCCAAGAGTCCCTGGAGATTCCAGCTGAACAGCGTTGTGGGCCTAGAAGACTGCAGTGGGTCACAAACAAAGTTGTTTTCAGGAGTGAAGGAGGAAGGAAGACCAGTCACAGACTTGCCCCTATATAAGGGGTTAAAGATCATGTAAGCCACCATGGTGTTTGGTATATGATGTTTCCCATTAACTTAGGTGGGATGTGTTTTACTGTGGGCTTTTTACTGGATATATCAACCAAGTTGAAATGGGTAGAATAAAATAAAAGGTACCTACTCTTGTATCCTGTACCTATCACGGAGAGGTCACTCCACTTACAATCAAAATGGGAGACAACTTTTCAACCAGTGGCAGTTAACTCTAGACTGGATACTAAGAAAAGCTTCTATGTCCTTTCCTGTATATAGTTTACACAGCTTATTATCTCTGAAACAGATGAGGATCTGGCACTCCTTGCCTTGCAGCAGAAACATATAGCTGTACAGACCTTTCAAGGTCCCTTTAGGAATAAATAACCCCAGATTCAGGATGCTGAGAGACTTTCCAGATCTAGTCTCCTTAGCCCAGCTCACAAATGCCTTTCACAGACCCCTCTGTCAAAATCAACCACTTCCTTCTCAATCCATTAATCTGCCATGCTTTCTGGCCAAGTTTTCTATTAGGATGGCTAGAGACCACACTGCAGCTTGATGACAGCACTGTGAATGTCTCCAGCAGGCAGATGGTGGGGTGTTTCAGAAACTTCTTCAGGATTCATAGCCATTGCTTAAAATTATAAGTAGTGATGTTGGGGAGACCCAAAGCAGGGAAAGTACAAGAATTAGCTATATGAGGCCACCACAGTGCCCAATTGGACACTAACAGGAGCAAGCAACAATTGTATTCAGAGTCTCAGCCATGAGAGCTTTCATAAGTATCATCACACAGGACCTGGCATAGAAAAGGCATTATAATTCATATTTGTTTAATGAACCACTTTCATAGAATCAACCGATTTCCAGACTGGCAGGAACCTTAATGAATCACCTAATCCAACCTTCTTGTTTTACATCTGGAGGAGATTGGTCCAGTAAAGGGAAAAGTGATTTTCCCCAGTCCCAATTACCAAACAGCAACACTGGAACCAGAAACCTGATCTTCAGATTCCTAGGCCAGTGCTTTACTACCATATAATGCTTAAACCCCTGCCCCCATCACTTTACAGATGGGAATATGGAGAGGAAGTGCTTTGCCCAAGGGTAAACAGCTAGCAAGGTAAATTGGCCAAACCAGAGCCCAGTTATTTGGTTTTAATATAATGCTCTTTTCTCACTCCACCACAATTCCCCTCTTGATGCATATGTATTTCGTGCTATGTGTTTTGTGCAGGAAGGGAGCAGAGATCATAAATTGCAGGTGCTTACTTTGGAATGTTAGGGTTTGAGAAAAAAGTGCCCTGCTCTAGGCCCCTGGGAATGAGGCTTTGGGGGTGGAGAGAGGAGCAGGAGGGATGAGAGAAATATGTGATGAGGGAATGAAAGCCAACAGGGGGAGAAGTGGAACTAGTTTTGAGTAATTGCTGTTAGAAAGCAGGTATGCTTGATCGCAATGAGGTAATGCTTTTGCATGTTATGTTGGAGGTGTAAGACTATGAAAAGTACAAGCAGTCCTCTGTTGTGTACTCCCTTCCTCATGAAGAAGCCCAGGCCACAAGAGGAGAGGCCAAAAGCTGATAAACAGCTACTGGGTGCATCATCACAATCCCTTCCAAATCCATTATTTCATGTGTTCTGCCTGACAGTCTTCCAGGTCAGTAAGACAGGTATTTAACCCCTCAGTTTACAAATGAGTAGAATGAGGGTTCAAAAGCCAAGTGACTTACACAAGGGTGTACAGTGATCCAATGGCAGAGCCATTGTTTCCCACCTCTCCTCTAAACAAAGCCTTCCCCCATAGTGTTAACCCAGTAGTATTACATCATTACCCCAGTAGTATTACAATTAAAATTTTCCTCATTCGCTGGTAAATGGATGGAATTGGAGAACATCATTCTGAGTGAGGTTAGCCTGGCTCAAAAAACCAAAAATCGTATGTTCTCCCTCATATGTGGACATTAGATCAAGGGCAAACACAACAAGGGGATTGGACTATGAGCACATGATAAAAGCGAGAGCACACAAGGGAGGGGTGAGGATAGGTAAGACACCTAAAAAACTAGCTAGCATTTGTTGCCCTTAACGCAGAGAAACTAAAGCAGATACCTTAAAGCAACTGAGGCCAATAGGAAAAGGGGAACAGGTACTAGAGAAAAGGTTAGATCAAAAAGAATTAACCTAGAAGGTAACACCCACGCACAGGAAATCAATGTGAGTCAATGCCCTGTATAGCTATCCTTATCTCAACCAGCAAAAACCCTTGTTCCTTCCTATTATTGCTTATACTCTCTCTACAACAAAATTAGAAATAAGGGCAAAATAGTTTCTGCTGGGTATTGAGGGGGGAGAGGGAGGGGGCGGAGTGGGTGGTAAGGGAGGGGGTGGGGGCAGGGGGGAGAAATGAACCAATCCTTGTATGCACATATGAATAATAAAAGAAAATGAAAAAAAAATTGATTATGCGAAGAACAAAAAAAATAAAATAAAATAAAATAAAATTTTCCATAATTTCCCATCCAGAATCTCAAAAAAGTGTTTAAGAATGGGAAATGAATTAGTTATAAAGACAGAGAAGGTAGAAGGAAGGCCAGTTTCTCCAGACACACTGTGTAAAGCAACAAAAGAAGATCATGAGTGATTTCAAGCTCAGCACTTGCAGTCTGAAGTAACTTCATATGTCCCCCATGCACATCATTACCTTGAGATCAAAAGTTCCAGCATGACAGCTAGTAGGAGGGACAGAGAACATAAGGCAGAGGAAGGGATTATATCAGTGTGTGATACCCAAACTATGGTAGAAAAAAATGGGAGGGACTCTGACAAAAGGTTGACCTCATCTGTGACAAATAAGGCTGATAAATAAACTATAATATTACCAACCACTGCTACCATGATTTCATCTTAAAAGTGGCATTATGAAGCTAAGATGTAGGAAGGCAGAATCTCAAATTTCAGGTTAAATGTATCTAGCTATGAGAAAAGTCACTGACCTTCAGTATCTAAATTCATTGTTCTTATTTCATTTAGGACTATGGTGAGAAACCATGCCAGTTTGCCTGAGACCAAGGAGTTCTCTGAGATGTAGGACATTTGGCGATAAAGTCAGAAAAGTCCCAAACAACCTGGGATGAGATGATCACAGTATTTAAAAGTAATTCTCAATACTTTTTTTTGCAGTACAAGGGTTTGAACTCAGGGCCTTGCACTTGCTAGGCCCACACTACCATTTGAGCCACATCCCCAGCCCACCCTATTTAGAACTAGAAATGTTGTCAGTCAACACCAGTCTTGAGAATGACTGCCACAGATATTTCTCTAATGTTCTCTCTAGGACTCATAATATAAAGTTAAAAGTGACTACGGAAGTCAACATTGGGGAGAGGAAGCCTATATACTTTGAAGGTAAACCTTTCTGTATCATAGACTTGACCTTATGAGATCAAGGAATTAGATTTCAGAGGTTCAATTGCTCAGTATTTCCTGAGCACACAATGTGTAACAGCCCAGCTTCTCCCATGACTGGACTGGGAGGCAGGAGGGCATGTGGAGACTATACACACACACTGTTACATATTCACATATGCCAGACAGAGAAGCACTTTTCAGCAAATGCTTTTAGTACCATCATCTGCAGTGAAGTAACCCCTTTTGCGACAGTCCTCCAAAGCAAACTAAGATCATTCCCAAAAACTAATTTGCTTAGTGTTTACATTAACAAAAATCTCAAACCATGCTATGCTTCATTCTCTCCTAACTCCTTTTGTGTGCTTTTTGTATGTGATACCTTTGTTTCTCTGCTTTCATAGCCACACTGGATTTCAGGAACCCAGCACTCACCCTAATGCTCCTGCTATGTGGTCCAGCAACCAGGCATTGGTAAGATTACATTTGAACCTCCCCCTTTAGGTATTTCATTGTCTTTCTTTCTTCAGTTTCACTATGGGTAAATGAATCATGAGAGTAGTTGTATGAAATGCACTGAATGAGGCCAGAAAGTTGTAATAATCAGGGTTGAAGAAATCTTTTCTGCATCTACTATCCCCAGTTTGCTAATCTTCCAAGGTATGCTAGTCATTCTAACACACCCTTATGGGTAGAGATCACCTGGACCCTATAGGACACAGGAAACCTACCTGAGCCATACATGTCAAATGGTTATCTCTACTACTTTTAAAGAAATCTAGGGAAGGGAAGTCTGCAGTTTTTCTCAGTAACTTCACAACTTTCACTGTCAATAAATCACTTGGATATCTCTTTATAAAACGTTTCTACTGCAACTTAAGATCAGTTCCTTTTGCTGAGTCCTCTGAGGGAGTGGAGAACAGCTGGTCACTGTCCTCCAAATAAGAACCTTTCATCAAATCAGATTACTGATAGGCTCTTTTCCCCAAAATGAGCACTCTCCCTCTCCCTGTGGTGTCCATCCACTGACAAGCATTTAATCATTTTTTTCCTCACTTATTCCCTCTGGTGTGTACTTATTCATATGTGGGCACATATTATCAACAAAACTGGAGATTTATATATATATATGGAGAAAAATAAACTAATACCTTTCTCTACCTCATCTCATCCTTGTTCTTACAAAAAAATGATAAATCCTTTTGTTCCCATTAGAGCTTGTAAAACTTCAGAGTGAAGGAAATCACTCCCTTACCAGGTCAACAGTGTTTAGAAAAAAACTAAGCCAGTGAATTAATGATCAAAACAAGAAGTGGTTAGAAAGGGAGTCACTGACTTATAGCTTCTGAGGAAAACATGGCTGCAAAACTGTCTGTTTAGGACTGGCCTCTGAGGAACAGCATTATTTGCACCAGTGATGGCAAAAGCTACTCTGGCAAGACATGGATAAGCCCTGTCAACAATGGACTAACTGGTAAGGTATCTCTCACAGCATCCCCCACACCAATAGCTCCAGCCCTGCTATCGTTGCCCAATAAACCCTTTACTCCATGGCCTCAGCTGGAAATAAAATGACACCACAAATGGCCATCTCCACTGAGTGGATCTGGCCAGTGTGGGAAGAAGGTAAGCTGAATGTTTCTCCAACCACTTCAGAGGAGTTGGGAGGCAGCTTGATATATCCAGTTTTTCTCAAGTTGGGGGTTTTAACCTCCACATCAGAATCACCTTAGACGCTTGTTTAAAATGCAGACTATGAACCCTCCCTCCCAGATTCACTGAATTCAAATTTATGAGAATTTGCATTTTTAAAATCCTCAGTTGAAGGGGGAGAGGGAGAGGACAGGGAGCAGGGGGGAGACATGGCCTCAACAATGTATGCACACATGAATAAATGAATAAAGAAAAATAAATAAATAAATAAAAATAAAAATACATTGAAAACTTCCAAAAAATAAAATAAAAACCTCAGTTGATTCTGATGGGAGCTTATGATTAAGGAATATTGTTTTAGTAGCAAACGTCCAGATTTTAGAATCAGAACTGACACAGGGTCCTGAGGTCTGTCCCTTCCAGGTGATATGAACCTGTAAGGCAAATCACTAAACACCTCTGAGTTTCAGTTTCATGTACAAAATGGAAAAGTGAAATAACATTTGTGGTGACTCCTACCTAACACCAGCATAGGGCTCAATTCCCCCATTTTCTACTAGAGAAGACCATATTCTCTCATAAGTAATGGAAAACACTTGAAGTCATCTAAGAAGCAGAACATCACTTGTCTCCTATTTCACCCCTCAACCACTCTATCAGTGATTTCTCCTCATTCCTTCACTTCTTTCTGCTTTTAGTTTCTCACCACAAAATGAAACCACTTCACAGAATGTTCTTTGCAAGAATGGATTTATAGTTAACATATTTTAGGTTCTTCTGGAAATCATAATGTTTGGCACATAGTAGGAATTCATAAATATTTATTGAATGAATCCCATCTTTTATTTCCATCCCTAATGGCCTGGACATCTGCATTTTAGTTTAACCTCATCACACCATTTCAGCCCCGTCACTCCAATTTAGGCAAGTCTAAGAGATCGGCCTACCACATCGAAAACTGGATCCATTTTTACTCTTATGGACAAATCAGGACAAAAATCCTTCCCTCCACTCCCAGAGACATGGACTTCCTCTCCTCAGGTTACCAACTCCGCTGGGGAAAGCAGCTAGCACTTAACCCTTGGGTCCTCGAACCTTGTCAATATGAAATAGGAATCCAGCCCTCATTCCTCTCAGCCTCGTGTAAAGAACAGATTATGAGGAAATAAAAACACACCAGGCTGCCCTTGGGAAGATAACAGCTTCTCTGAGTTTGACATGAAAGGACAGGAAGCCTGAGAAAGGAATGAATGGGGGAAAGAGGGTTGAGCAAGGGGAGAGCAAAGCAGTTTCTTATCTAGATGCTTCAATTGCATTTGGCCCAAGTTGCATATTTACCTTCTGACCACGGACGCTGACTGACTTGTTCCCTCTCTTCAGGCTCAGATCTAAGAAAGAACTTCTCACAGCTTGTCAGACAAGGATGGGAATCCCAGCTGCTCTTTGCAGTGATGTCTGAAAACCTTGCTTCACCTTTGGGAGAGAGGGGCGGAGTCCAACCTAATGGGAATTAACTCCAACCACGCTGGAGGCTTCATACTCAGCCTCAGACATGCAGGCACTTGAAGTAGAAACCTGCTGAGCAGGCATCCTGAGATCCTCAGCTCCAACTTGCAGCTGCCAAGTCAGCTGTGTGTGTGTGTGTGTGTGTGTGTAGGCACACCTACTATTGAATTGCATATGTATTTCACTTTCTCACTTGCTGCCCGAATGCCAGCTGAGGAACAGAAGTTGTCCCTAACTTTTGTCCAAAGCACCAAATTCTACCAAAGAGATTAGGTCGCAAACAGACAGGCGAAGAAACAACTGAGACAGCACACACCTGAGTGGACTAAAACAGAATAACCTCTTTTCTCAAAACTGATTTCCACTGTCTGGTGGGGATGATGCTCCAACAGAGGAATCTTTGGCTCTGAGATGTAATGAGCTCACATTTAAGAAACTATTGAGAGGGGGCAGGGTAGTAAACACTTGTACTTCCAGCACTCAGGAAGCAGAGGCAAGAAGATTGCAGGTTCAAGGTTAGCCTGGCCTACATGGCAAATTCCAAGCCAATTTGAGCTACATAGCAAGACCCTGTCCCTCCAAAACTAAAAAGAAAAAAGATAGGAAGGAAGGAAGGAAGAAAGGGAGAGAGTGAAAAGGATCTATTGAAATCACACACTGAAAGGGCTAAATAATATCTTTTTAAATATAACATTACTACTAAAAGTCAGTGTTCAATTTATCTGAAAGCCCCAGTGACTGCTTTTCTGCTTGGGGAAAAAGCTGAGAAATCTGGTGATAAATGGAATTTCACCTGATGCTCTGCTCCAACCTGATGTCATTTTTCCCATCTGTAAATGTCCCTGGGCACTCTGTATTTATTTGGGGAAACTTATCACCTTCTACATTGTAGTTTTTGCATATGTGTCTCATTTCTCCTCCCAGATGCCTTGTGAACAGGGAACTGGCTAAACAAATTAAAATGAGTGGGAAGGAGGAATTGTAACTACTTTAACTTCACAGAGTATACTTGACTGATACAAAATATCTGCCCTTCTGTAATGGCCCAGTTGCCTTTCCCAGAATTCTTTAAAGGTTGTCAATGCTGTTTTCTGGCATTTTATGGCAATATGTCAAAATATAAGGAAAAACAAATAAACGAACTAGTACATTCTTTGCATCTTAATTTTTTATGAAGTTATTAAAGTTTTTCCTTCCTGATGTGGGTACAAGCTTACATCCTATCTTTCATCATTTATATTCATGTATGCATTTGTTTATCCAGCTATTTCTCATCAGCAGTTTTTAATCATTTTTTTCTTCCACAACATACTGATAAACAATATTCTCATCTGTAGTAATAGCTTACTGAGGCAGCTCCTAGGGGAGGGAAAGATGACCTTTGGTGAGGAATGTCGGACTTTTGACACTGTAAGATCCCCAGATAATTTTAATAATCTCACAGTTGTCATCTCTTTCAGCGTCACTGCTTCAGATATAGGGCAATAGAAAGAAAAGTGCTAGGTCCTCCCTCATGAAAAAATACTGACAGACATATGGAAACTGTGTGTGAGATGTGAATGAAACTTTGACATATAAAAAATAATTGATTCCACTCAATTTACCAGTATGTATTGCCTGTCACTTAGTGGTTACACCTGTCATATGGGGAACCTAACACTATTTGGAACTCTAATAAGAATACATTTTTACTTCCCTCTTTTTAACCTCTTTTTCTTCTGTGTCTAGGTCCCTTCAATGAAATGATATGGATACAAAAATAGTATATATTTAATAATATATATTATATATAATATATATAATAATAATTATATATATTATATATAATTATAATATAATGTTTATATATAATAATAATTATATATATAATTATATATAATAATTTATTGAGCAGTTTTATTTCCTTTTTAAATTTATTTTTTATTTTTTTGATAGTTTTTTCAGACAGAAATTATTTTAATCCTGTGGTTCTTTATATTTTTTCAATTAAAAGTGCTCTTTAGCCATGCTTCCATAAGATCATGAGGGAAGAATTGAGAAGAGGATGCTTGTTATCATGTGTTTAAGGGGTAAGATGATACACAGTATTTCTAATAGTGCTAAAATTGCTATTGGCCACAAGTATCTAAATTCTACATTTAATTGGTCTGGAGTAAGATTCTGCAAACAAAAAAAAATGCTTTGGGAGACAGGTGATTCTGATACATATTCCCCTCCCCATATCTAGTTTGTCAAACATTGCTGTCTACGGTAGAACCTCTCAAGCAAGATTAAAACTCCCACAATATTTTGCAGTCTAGACAAAGGGTCAACAAGCCAAAGCCTGTGCATGTCAAATTCTGTAGGCTTTCTGTTTCAGTAAAGTTTTATTGGCATACAGCCACAACTTACTCATTTGTGTATTATCTATGGCTGCTTCCATGCTACAATCGCAGAGTTGAGCCATTGTGACAGAAATCTTATGGTTCACAAAGCATAAAATATTTATTCTGGCTTTTTACAGAGAAATGGGTTTAGACCAACACCAATAGATTATATTAGATATTATATTAATTGTTATGAGAAAGAGGTTGAAAAGGAAGAGGAAAAAGTGAAATAAATGGAAACATGCTGCTTGCTTTCTGCTTTGTTGAGCTGCCAGTCAACCTTCATTGATTCCTTAAAATATATTGCCTGTAGTGTTCACTGTAAGCCAAATATTCCATAGCCTCCTGCAAATGTACTTCTCTCTTAACTATTTTTTGAATCTGTCATCATGGTTTTTCTCAATGTATTTTAAGTCATTTTTCACTACCTATTTATATGTTTATTTTTTAATAAGCATACAATAATAATACAAAGGTGTTTCATTGTGATAATTCCATAGATGTATACCATTTACTTTGAACAAGTTCACCCTCTCCATTATATTCCCCTTATTTCCCCTTCTCCCCCATTTTTAGTTTTTAGTGGGTATGATTTTGCTGTCTTCATATATCTATATGTAATGTACTTTGATCCTCTTCCCCCCTCAATATCCTTTCCTTTCTTCCTCCTCTGTCCCACTGATCCCTCCCCAGAGAGTTCCTTTGTTATGAATCCCATGTCCCATTATTATTACTATGCTCATCATCATTATTTTAAGTCTAGATTCCACATATAAGCCATAGTAGGCCTTTTAAGCTTTGCCTATCTTGTTCAACATTATAATCTCTAGTTTCATCCATTTTCCTGCAAATGACATAATTTCATTTTTCTTTATGGTTGAGTTATATTCCATTATATATGTACATATATATATATCAAATTTTCTTTATCCATTCATCATTTGTTGGGCACCTCAGCTATTTCTACAGTTTGGCTACTTTGAAAAGAGCTGCAATAAGCATAGGTACTTTAGTCGAATTTCCTTATTAACTTCAGAGGATGAATTGGTGGTATTAACCAGTTATATGGTGTACTAGTAAGTGCTTAGTGACTGACTTCAGAGTGAACAGGAAGGTAAAGAGAGCACTGATTTGTGGCATTTTCTATTTTGGTAGTGCAAAATCCTCCCACCATGGCCAAGTTCAGGTTACCAACTTGATGTCAATGAAGTGGAGATGGGAAGATGAATTGACTTTCACAAGCTGGTATAAACTAGCTCCAGCATAACAATAGAACGCACATTCAAAGAATTACTTTAGTCTCTGTCTGTATAGATTTGTTAGCTACATACAATGTTAATCACATTAGAATAACTATCATAGTTGTTTGGTATGTTACACACAGGCTTCTCCCCCATTATACAATACATTAGCTGGCACTGACTCATTTCAAAAATGTTTTGCTGGGTAGCAACTTTTAAACTTTTAGATTGCAATTTGTGTGTTATTTGGAAGTAAACCAAAAATGAATTTCTCATGGATCTTGTTTCTTGCTTTAACAACTTTTGAAGAAAGATTTTTATTATATTTAATGGATAAAAATAAAACAGTGATTCTTTTTCAAAACTTAACAAATGTACCAGATTTGTAGTTCAAATTGTATAAGTTAAACTAAATTGCATTGTACTAATCACTATGGGTATCTTTCTGTATGCATGTGTATATTGAAATATACCTAAAAAACAAATTTAGAGAATATTTACATTTATATGTTCAATGAAATACTTTAAAAGGTGTTATATACCAGTGTGGGGATCCATCACCCATGCTGATTCTTGGCTTTCTTATAGAAAGGTGACCAGTTAATGATTACTTACTGCCATGGTTTGAATGGAATGTGTCCCCTCCAAAATTTGTGTATTTTCAATGTGATAGTGTTAAGAGGGGGGCCTAGGAATTGATTGTAAAAAAAAAAAGCTTCACACAATATTTGGATATCTTGACCTTCTACCTTCTGCCATGTGAGGACATATCATTCTTTCCCTTCAGAGGATGCAGCAATAAGCCACCATCTTGGAAACAAGCAGAGCAACCCTTACCAGACAACCAAACAAGTCACTGCCCTGATATTGCACTTCTGAACTTTCAGAACTGTGAACCAATAAATTTCTGTTCTTCATAAATCATCCAGTCTCGATCATTTTGTTAGAATCGTACAAACACACTAAAGAATTTACTAATCCTCAACATGTGTCAGGCACTGTGAAGTTCTGGAAGCATAGAATTAAGATAGACAGAGACCCTGGCCTTATGAACTTTTCATTCTATTCAGGAGATGGAAGAAATCAAATAAGTAACTATAATAACAGACAGCGAGGAACTCTGAGTGATTAAAAAGTAATGATATGACAGGGTAGTAGGGGTATGGAGACCTATGTTAAATGGTCAAGGAAGGCTTCTATGATGTCGTTTGGAGCTAAGAACAAGAGCTGGAAGAAGTCAAGAAGAATGCAAATTCAAAACCTCCAAGGAGGGAATGATCTTGGCATGCTGGGAAACTAAAAGTGGAGGCAGGGGCTGAAACATGATAAAACAGAGAGTGGTACCAGCTAAGGCTGAAGAGGTAGGAAGAGGACAGATCATACAGAGATTTTTAAAATTTCCTTTTAGTTGCAGTGACAGCCTATGAATAAGCCTATTATGACCTCAGTATGGCACAAAAATATGGTGCATACATAAATAGATAACTGTGGCAAAATGAGGTAGATCCTAGGATGCTGATGTCCCCAGACTCTAGATTTCTA